ATACTGCTTTTTTTTTAATTCACTAACGCTCTAAAAATGAATATTTCAGCAGCAGTAAAGAATCAACGTTGCCGGATTTTGGTTCTTGACATCCTTTACGATCGGTTACGATGCCTAGAGTACGGAGACCTGTACGATTTCGTCAACTTAGTGAGTTTGATAGGGGCCGTATAGTGGGACTTCGGGAAGCTGGACTTTATTTTCGGGCAATTGCAGTTAGAGTGCAAAGAAGTGTAGACACTGTGGTTAGGTGTTGTCAGGCATGGCTTCGAGAAGGCCGTACGCAAAGAGCAAGGGGCACTGGACGCCGCCGTAGAACAACAGACCGTGAAGATTGCCGCCTAAGATTATTGGCCTTAAGGGACCGTTTCTCCACTACCAGGTCCATTGCAAATGAATGGTTTGCAGAACACGGAAGACCTATTGGCATGCGAAGTGTTTACCGACGAATGAGAAGTTTTGGCTTGTTTTCATACCGGCCACACTGGGTCCTCCCTTTAACTCGAGAACACCGACGAAATCGGCTTGAGTGGTGCAGACAACGGTCACTCTGGGATCAGGAATGGAACATTATTGTCTTTAGTGACGAGTCTCGATTTTGCTTAGGCATGAACGATGGTCGTGCCAGGGTTAGAAGGCGACGTGGTGAAAGGAGGATTCCACAGTTTTTTGTTGTTCATCACACTGTTGGAGTTATGGTTTGGGGTGCTATAGCTTATGGTTCCAGGTCGCCTTTAATCTTCATCAGAGGTAACATGAACGCGCAGCGTTATATCCACGAAGTTCTAGAACCCCATCTTTTACCCTATCTTGACACCCTGGCAGATCCTACTTTCCAACAAGATAATGCCCGACCACATGTTGCAAGAGTCACAATAGACTTCTTTCAACATAATGATGTCACATTGATACCATGGCCACCAAGATCTCCCGACTTATCCCCAATTGAGCACGTGTGCAATATGATGGGTAGCAGATTGCTCAATTTTCAACGTCCTCCTCAGACTCTAGAAGCACTTCGAGAGGAGTTGGTGGTTGCCTGAAATGAGATACCACAGGAGGACATTGACCACCTGATCAGAAGCATGCCTAGGCGCGTTGGAGAATGCGTAGCACATCAGGGTGCATCCACACATTATTAAAGGTCAAAGGGCTTTAAAGCAGTGCAATCATTTTGAAATTTTTATCATTTACTTATTATGCTTCATTAAGTACTTATACAAAATTTTATTAAAATAAAACCATTTAAACTGGGTGTTCGGATTTATATGTCACTTAGTATATGTCCTACTATGCTTTATAAGACTATACGTAGTGTAATTTTTTCCAAAATCGTTGCACAACACTTGAAAAAGTGCAAATGAAAATTTTAGATTTAACTCCACGACGCCCCAAATGGCTTCGTCGGTACCGCGGGCTATACATCTTGACAGCTTGTTGTTCTTGTCTCCGGTTTGTTGTGTATTACTATCACTATTTATATTTTGCTAAAATCTTAGAAGTTTAAAATGAAATATTGACGATTATGAATGGATATGCAGAGAATTTAGAAAATAAATTCATATTGCAAGTTTCAGATTGTCTATGCATGGACTTGAACCGGATGAGAAATATATTTACCGAAAACGTCATTTTCCACGATTTTTCAAAATAATTCAAATATTTCCATATTTGCCGAAAAATATCTTGGACCAAAATTAAAGCTTAAAGTTAATTTTATGTAGTCTTTGTAGTTTTATGCCCCATATCAATCATACAGTCGGGCACACGAAAGGCGTAGATTTGGATTGCCTATCTCCCCAAAGTGTACAGATTGGTAGATTACCGGCATTGCCGCATCACCGGACAAGCAATAAAGAAAGCGAAACCTGTCTGATTTAAAAATAAATATTTAACTAAAATTAACAATCCTATAAGCAATAATCGAAAAAGGAGTTTCCAGAATGGTTGTAAAGGACTTTTAAAGAGCGACCAGTATGCACATTGTACAAGTTGCAATATGGAACTGTGCCCTGAAAAAACATCTGTGTGTGCTCAATAAAATAATAAACTTTTTTCATAGGGGGCGCTGCATGACTCAAAGTTCCTTGATCAACCACTGATCTTGGGACGGCATTTTCCCCATACCGAATTCAACGACACTATTTACCGATTCCGGTTCTTTTTTCGGTTCGACAACACTGCAGAAACTTTCTGACATAATATCTAGGCGATGAATAATAAGTGTTTGCGGATACATTTACAAATATCGATGTTTTAGGACTCAGAAATGCAGCATGTGCTGTTTCTTTAGATTTGGTGTGGATTTCAAGATCATGAATTGGTAATAAATTGTTTTGATGTAACAAAATATGATGAACCAGTTTAAATACGTTTTGTATCCTTTGTTTGCCAAATGAAGAAAATCGATACATTTCTACAGATACGTATTATGTACAACACCCTGTATGTGATAACGAGACGAAACATGCACGAACAGCTGTCAAAAACAGTGAAAACATCCTGTTAAATATAATAGCTAAAAAATCGACCTATTATTTCTTGCATTTTGATAGGTCCATTCAAATATGTAAGTTCCCGTCTTTTGTGACATGATAGAAATTAGAAATTGGCAATTCTATGAAAGTTATCCTAATTTTAAGGCTTAAGACATGGTATTAGACGCAGAATGTACCCTGATTTATAAAACAACCCTTTTTTTTACGATTTTATGCAATATTTCAATGGGAATTACTGATATTAGGAGAGCTTTGACACCTATCAAATTGCAATTCGATAAGCTACTCCCTTTTTGGTGGAAGCCTAAGTCAACTTTAAATCTTGGTGAAATTGGCTCTTAATGTACTATAATACATTTGTTCGGTAAGCTTAAATGTCATATAAAATTGTTGTGTAAGCGTTTATAACACAGTATTGAAATTTGTCCTAAAACTGTTTTGTATTTTTGCTCTAAGAACATTTTTACGACTGTCTTGTAAAGAAACAAATACTTCCTAAAAGCTTAATTGTCTTCCAGGAAATTATGTCAAAACAAAATTGCATTCTAAGAGTAGTAATAAGGCAATTGTAAAATAAAAACGCACGAACAGTCGAAAATTATAAAATATATTTGCTAGTTGGGCTCACAGTGTCGGCCACCGATAACCTAGTGTGCGGCGGCTTTCTTAATCTAACGAATCTAATCGCAAGATGGATGAGAAAGTGTCACTGTGAAAGTATACACAATTCACTTTAAATTGTTTCAAGCCAGCAAATGTCAATGGTTCAGATTTGCAGTTACACGTATTCAATAACTTAATCGCTTCCATCTCATACCAAATCAAATTTCAATATCTCTGTCCTAGATCCTAGCCAGCACACAAAAGTGCATAATTTTCTGTTACACGTATATTGCATCTACAAAAACAAGGCTACGCTTCATTTGCAATAAATACCAAAAACGCTCTATAGTCCAAGAAAATAAGATTTTAACTTCGGAATGGATATTTCATGTTAACCGAATGTCTTAACTGTTCCCGAGATAGAGCGGTGGTGGGGCGCTTAGCTATTTTTCATCTTCAAGATGCAGGCGTCAATGTTTGGCAGTGGTGTGAGATATGATGGCGAGGAGACTATCACACTTTGCACCTTCCGCCTCAGACTCCGCCACAGCTATTCCACGAATTCCAAGTTGCTTGGAATTAGGTGCTACAACCAGGCATCGATCATCTCATTTTGTCGATGCCTAGGCGTATAAGTTATGGAATCCTGATGACCACCATTTCAACGGTACGGCTAACACCGTCCCGATGCCCTTGTGATTAGCGCCGTCCATCAGGTTTCTAGTTACAGCGTTAGGTGTTATCTTTGTTAGAACATTCCTGACTTTGCATTTTGCTATATTTGACTTCTTATAAACTGAATATGAAATGTAACTAGCGTTGTTGTCATCCTGTTTTAATCCAATAAAGTTCCTGCTATAGTTTCGAAATGAAACCACACTGAGTTTCATTTCTGGCGCTGCGAACAGGATCCCAGGCTTGGTTTCTGTCACCATTGTGAGAAATATCTAATAGACGAGCTGCCCAGCGGTGTCTCCGAGAAAGCCAAAGAGTGAGTTCCTGAGAAACTGAAGTTAGTACCAGCGAAAGCCAAGAGTTAGTATCTGACGTCGGGAAGGCCCTCCTGTTCTACTTGGACTCTCCGAGTGCCAATATCAAGTAAGAATTTCTATTCTCTTACTGGGAATTCTACCAGAAACTGTCCAGAACCATTGATTTGGAATCGAAGACAAGATGACCAGCCCCTGGATGAAGCAACAATTGACGTTACTGACCTTGTAAGTAGTTAAGAATTACTATTAAGAAGATTTTGCAACTAAGAAGATTTAATATGTAACCATAAGAAGAATTTATCAAAAAACTCATTTCTACAGAGAAGAATTTTGCTGAAGAATCCAAGTTTGCGTTTTTCAATTGAAATCTAATTTTGTGCATAGCTTTAAGTTTTGTTTTCACCTATTTTTACTCATTTTTATCTTGCATCTTTTATACATTTTATTTTATGCCTTTTGTTAATCATTTTGTGCCTACCGAAAGAGAAAGATCTCGTATAAGAATGGCTACTTCAAATCAACAGAATGTCGTTCAGCATGACAATCCTCAATTAATTTTTAACATGCTAAAAGATTCAATTCCTATATTTGATGGCTATTCAAACAATCTTTCTGCATTTTTAAGAAAGTCTACATAATTTTATAACGCTTTACCTATTTCCTATAAAGGACATGCTTTAACATTTATTAAGTCTAGATTACAAGGTGATTCTGCCGAATTTACAGACCAAACTAATCCTATTACTATTGAACATCTTTCTGCTATTTTAACCACTAGATTTAAAGATTACCAAACTGAAGAAAATTTGACTCGCCAAATTTTTGATATTCATTCCCCAGACTATAACAGAAATTTGTAACAAACTTCATGAATTACGAGAATTTGCTCGATTAAATTATCCTCCAGAAATTGCCCCAGCAATGATTGCTAGATATGAACAGATGGCTTTAACCTCCTTTTTATGCGGAATCAATTCCAAATATCATTGCGTTGCATTACAACCACCTCCTAAAAATATAGATGAAGCTAAGAGACGGTGCCAAGAACACGACAACCTTTTGCAAACCAAACAATATAAAGAGTTTCTCGTCACTAAGTCTAAGCCTCAGACAAATAAACCTGTTAGACCGCCAATGCAGTCATATAGACCTAACTTTCCCAATTTTGCTAATTTCTCTCATAATCCCTCTACTTCTCATCCCGCAATTACTTATGGACAACAATTTAGCAACCCACAATCATTTCACAATTCTCGTCCAACTTTTAGACAACCATTCTATACTTCCCCACAAAGTCGTCAATTTTCGAACGCATTCAACCCCTCTCAACACAATTTTGCAAATCGTCCACAATTTCCTATGAATAGGCTCCCTGACACCAATACTTCAAGACAAAATAATCAAAATCATCCGACGCCTATGTCAACTTCGACGATCCAGTCACGTAGACCTTTTGTAAGACCCAATTTCTTTTCGAATAATGGTCAACGCCCTAGCATAGCTGTTCAAGAACTTACTAATGAAAGCTCTACAGAAAATGTAGCAAACCCCTTCCAATCTTATTATTCTGAAGCTTGTTGTCCAGAAAATCTCGTAGAAGATCAACTTCAATATTATGAAAACGATTATTCTCAAGAAAATTTTCAATCAACTTCTCATCAACAATCCCCAGAATAGACATTGATTTAAACTCTTATGAAAATATTCATCTCCCATATCTCTACAATGAAGCTTTGGATTTACTTGTTCTTATAGATACAGGTGCTTCTGCATCTCTTATGAATCCCCAAATTGCCTACGACAAATTTCCGGATTATATTTATCCAAAATGTTTTTCTATCAAAACAGCAATTGAAACCAAAATTGGTACTCACGCTTGTAAGATCCCTATCTTTGATGATCTAGGTATTCCAACAGAAGTTGAATTATTATTACTCCCATGGCATCAAAAATGTGATTGTCTTTTAGGTTACTATGACCTACAGAAATTCCACAGTAATTTTTACATTTCCCATAATTTACTTTCCATCGAAAACTTTGAAATTTTATGTCATACTCATAAGGAACCAATCAAAATTCCCAATCAGATTTTCGACACCATTCCTATAGACACAAATGAAGATTCTGTATTTATCCTCGCTGTCAAATACTCGAATTCAGAAAATTATACTCCTAGTTATATTTGCCCTGTCATAGATAAAAAGATTCTATTTCCTGAAAATCTTAAATTAATTGAAAGTCATAACATTCAATTAGAATCAATTTCCGATTATGAAATTTTGAATCCTAATCCCTTGCCCAAATCTCCGAACATGTCTGATCTTATTCGTACAGAACACATGAATTCTGAAGGAAGACTTCACATTTTAAATCTTTGTAAAAACTTCCCTCAAGCTTTCTTAAAGCCCAACGAAAAATTAAACCCTGCACAGCTACTAAGCATTTTATTCGAACATCTAATGATGATCCTAGTTTCGTTAAATCTTTTCGTTATCCCTATTTCTTGAAACAAGAAATTCAAAAACAAGTCACTAAACTTCTAGACGATGAAGTTCTAAACTCTAGCACAGCATAGAATCAAACGCGGACTTAGGTGCTATAATTCGTTTTATTTCTGGCAACCTTGATCAAAACGATTTAGATCTTATTTTGAAAAATCAGAACGCTTTACGAAATAACCAGACTAGCTTGCTTCAAAGTCATCAGAAAACTACCACGTTTTGCAAATCTCTTCAAGAAACTTTTGAAAATAATACTAGAAATATTCAGTGAATTATTATTCATTATGTCCAAACTATTGAACATCAGTCTTTGTTATCACACCAGACGATCCATCAGATCTCAATTATTACAAATTTGCAACGATTTAGTTCATATCTAAATTCACTTTTATTAGTTCTACAATTGAACCAGCAAACAGGTCTGAACATTTAAAATCAATTTATGTAGGATACGAAATTGATAATATGATAATAGCAATATAACGATAAACGTGAAAACATTTCATCTTAGAAGATTTCGAAGTACCGCCCCGTAGCATTACATTTTTACTACGTGGGCAGTACGTAAACAATTCGATATGGGCAACAATGTCAGGGTAGCATTAAAGTCACTTACTTGGTGACGAAACGACAACGAGTTATCCTCCTTTGGCAAGCGATAAGGGCGATATGATCGGATTGTCGGGGCCAACACCTATTTTTAGAAAAAGATTTATGAGTATCTCCCGTATTCAACCGACTCATGACATCACATGCATAAATCTACTATCTACCATTACATTAATGTACCCCAACTACTATTACGGATTCGTCATCGACTGAATCACGGGACCGTCATCACGACAGACTGGTCCTGACCGTCATCACGACAGACTGGTCGTTAAGTCATCACACAGACTTAATAGGAGTCATTACATAGACTCAATATAACTCTTTGGTCGCTAGGTGTATGGTCAGATGTGCTGAGTTTAACGATTGTTACAAAAAGACAGTCCAGGAACCGGGATATCACGCTGACCAAGGGCCGTTGTGTCAATACCCCAAATCTCCGACATTACCCCTGAATCAGAGGTAACCGAGCAATATGACTATCATTAAAGTAACAATCCCTTCACACATCCTGCCATGAGATACATTCAGACTCCAACGATTGCCAAGTGAAGATAGTTAAGCGGTCATTAAGACCAAGGATGCCACTTCGGCCAAAGGCCACCGTCTCAACATCCAAAGCGATCCGACGTTTCCCCTAGTAGAGGAAACCGAGCAGTAAGTAACATAACTACCTCAACCCAGCAAACGGGCTCCGAAAGTCCCATAACAATCCCCAGAACCTGGAGGCGTCCCACCTGCGGATATTCAATAACAAGTCGTAAGCCATGTTAAATTATGAAGGTAAAAAGTATAGCATCTTTATAAACATGGCTTAAGACATTCATGATCATGAATATAAAACTATTATGGTTATCAATCCACGCAGTACAGCAGAATAAAGGAAACACTCAGTGATTGCTCACCTTTCAGGTAACCAAAACACCACACCCAATAGCACATCAACACTGTAATGAAGTTCATAAAGCGCACTACTTGGTCTGAGAAGCGATCTGATCCACGCGATAATTGAAATGTATCGCCGACTACGCCCGACTAACAAAGTTTATCCTGGGAACAGGTACCCAGCGAAGGAATGGAATGTATAATGTAAACAGGCGTAAGGGCTGTCGCGCTGAGTAACACCAAGCTGCCTTGTGTACCTTCTGGAAAGGTTTTGTGTGCTACAGGGTTGGACTCGCATCCAAAAAAAATGTGTTTGAGATATTTCGTAAGCTTACATTTATAAAGACGAAGAATTATTGCCATTCGACAAAATACATTTATTTGAGATTTATGATCTTTCCCTTTTATCACTTATACTTTTAGAAAATCAACTTATTTTTGTAGTTGAGTTTCCCATTTTAGATGTTAGAACTTATTCCTTATTCAAGTTATTTTCAATCACAGTCAAAAAAGAATTAGTAAAATTACAAAGTGATTATATCTTATACTTTGAAAAGTATTATTATTGCAAAAATATTATAGAGTTAAGCAATCAGCTGTATGTTTGCACGAATACTTTCCAGTCGCCATGTCAACCACTTAAGTTAGATACTTGTGAGTCTGAAAGTCTAGTAAACTACACGCGAATCCTAGAATTAAGTAAGAACAATTATGTAATCGACACTAATGTTTTAACAAAAATCAAGGATTGTAAAGGAATCCATCATATTCATTTTGCTACTCACATAATTTTAGAATGTCATACATTTATTAATGATCAAATATTAGAATTTGACTCTAATTATGAAATTGAGTTAGAATTATCCTTCAGAGGTGACAACGACAAATATTCATTTAATAAAACAAACACTTCACTCGAATCTTATTTCGAAAAAAATCTCACTTCACTTCAAGTTCATTCTGAAGATTTACAGTTTCATTCTACTATAAGTTATCCTGTTATTTTTACTACTGTAATTATTTTATTGGTTTTATTTATAACAATTTTTGTTAGATACCGTTATGTAGAGGATACTAAAACTCCACCTCAAAATAGTGATATTTAAGAAACTTCTCCTTCAAATTAAAAGTTCAAATCATTTTTTGAGATTGGAGACCAATCTTGCCGAGGAGGGAGGAGTTATGGAATCCTGATGATTACCATTTCAACGGTACGGCTAACACCGTCCCGATGCCCTTGTGATTAGCGCCGACCATCCGGTTTCTAGTTACAGCGTTAGGTGTTATCTTTGTGAGAACATTCCTGACTTTGCATTTTGCTATATTTTACTTCTTATAAACTGAATATGAAATGTAACTAGCGTTGTTGTCATCCTGTTTTCATCCAATAAAGTTCCTGCTATAGTTTCGAACCGAAACCACACTGAGTTTCATTTCTTATACAGGAGTGTATTCAGCTGTGGGGTCGCCCAACACGTCAATAAAATTTCGTGAGAATGTTATCGTTTAATTCTTGATGTAAGATTACCTCATTGCCAAAAAAACAAGTTGAAGAAATTATTGTTTCTGGCTGCAACACTTCTAATGTCAGAGTGTATTTGACTCATGTAGTTGCTATTTTTCAAATGTTTTCTAGCTCCTGATGATGATGACAAAATTCATCGAAAGCTAGAGAATAAAGTAATAAGGGTACACTTTGCGATAATTTATCGAAGTACCCATCTAACTGGTTATTTAGACGACAGTAAGAACGGCTCACGTTAATGTACAAAAGATAAGTGTACGATTTCACTGGATTATCCCACTGTAGCCCAATAAATAAGTTAAACGTCGAACGGTACAAACATTTTAATCTGCAGCATTTCATTCCGCACTCACCCATTAAACTTGACACACCAACGTTAATTGTCCTCTAACTGTTCTGTGCACAGATCATAAAGATGTATCACTTAAATGGTTATGCATTTGGTTGTACTCGGAAATGCATAAAAACAATATCGGTGTTCAGATCTACGCCGAGATGTATATGACGAGAAGTCTTGCGTGAAATTGAGACCATGGGCGCCGCTCCACTGAAAGAGATTGGTGAAAGTGGGAACGGATTTTGAAAACTGCTTTTGGATAATG